TGCAACCAGAATTTGCCAAACATGTTTCAGAACATGACTCATGGAAACTATGTCCTTCAATCAGAACGTGGCCCTTCAACATATGGAGGCTATGTTATGTGTTTCAATCAGAGTCTCACCCTTCGAATCTCACTCTGATCTTCTGCGATCAGAACATCACCAAATCCCAAAACCTCGTTTGAGCAACCTGCTACATTGCTATAACATAGTCTTGCCACCAACTGCCATAACACTCCAAGGTGCTGCTGATCCAGTCCACGCCTATGTTTTTCTCAAACCCCATAATTGCACCAAATTAGCATACGAAAACTGTGTTTAAAAAGAAATAGAACATTATGCCAAAAAGGTTTAAATCCCATTTATCCCCCCCCCCCAAAACCATAACAAACTAACCTATAAATAAGTTGCTCCATCACACTTTCAAGGGACTGGCTTTTAGAGAGAAAGAATCATCAAAAGAGAGAAAAGAAAACTGTGAAACCTTCATAAAAAATCCAATTCCCAAACAGAAAACCAAACCTTTATTCTTCCCTTTGAATCAAAGAGCTTGACATTTTCTCTTTCGTTGCTCTGGCTGACTCCAGAACATCTGAAGGCAGCAGTTCAGGTTCCAAACACACGCTCCAGATTCAAGGTAAGTCTTTCTGACTTTGCATCTCTTCATTTAGAACAGCATTAAATATGTAAATATCACAGTATTGATATTGTCCATATCATTACATAAGTAGAAAAACTGTGGATCATAACTTCTTGATCAGTACTAGGCTCAGATTAGGGATTTGAACTTCTATAAATTGTTGTGCTTTTATCTTTCTGACCCACTGTTTGTTAAATACTGAATAAATTGCTGATGTGCTGATTAATATGAGGAAAGAGTTAAAATGTGACACATAACTTCTGACTTTCACTCACTGCTTTAGCATAATACAGAACTTCTGAGTTCTCCTCACTGTTTCAGCACAACACATAACTTCTGAGTTCTCTCTACACGTTAAACACATTGAACTTCTGATGCTTCCACTCGCTGTTTTAACACTCAGAATTTCTGATTTTCCACACGCTGACAACACACTGAATTTCTGATGTTCACTCACTATTTTAGCGCAATACATAACTTTTGACTTATGATTCACCATCTGAATACCACCCAGAACTTCTGTTTCCTTTTCCTCTTACAATTCTTGCAGGACCTAAGAGTGTGTCAATCCATAACTTCAACTGACGTTCCTTTCTGAGTCACCACGCGCCTGGCTTCAGAACTTCTAATCCTTGTCGTTTTGCTTGCAGCAGCACGCTGTTTCTATCTTTCATTTATTTTCCCTTTTATCATTTTCAATATTAAACCCTTTTTTATTAATATAAAAAATACATAAAAATATTTTCTTTTATTGATTAATTTATTTCTTTTTTTCTTAATTCATTAAGACACAAAAAACCCATTTTTAAACAAGTCCTTTTTTCTCTCTTGCATTGTATATTTCAATATAGTTGTAATAGTTAAATAGGGTTTAAATTCTTGCAACCCCCATTTGTAAATATGTACTCCCATCCCTAAAATATTGTAATAGCGTGAGATTTTTATATTTCCGCAATTTAACACTTTTACAAATATAAAATGCTAGTAATTAGGATGTGTATGGCAAGATATGGAATCAACAAATAGATCACCCTAATCAAGACTAAAATGCATGCAATCAAACACACTTGCACACTAGCACCCTTAGGGTAATCCCACCTCGTTGCCTATCATAAAAATAGTCATGTCCCTCGAACATGGACGTTTTAGCAAAAGACCCTCGATAAAAGATCGTAGTCCCTCGATGTTGCCTTTGATAAATGATCTAGTCCCTCGCACGACATTGCTAAAAAATTCCATGGGTTGCCTTCTATGACTATACAAAAACGTCCCGCGCCCGTCCCTTCACATCCAAAGATGGGGCTTCTTACCAAATCAATGGTAAGATATCAACATCTAAAGGAAGAGGAAAAGAACATCTAAGACCTTTTGAGTAGGTAGATTCGCTCATAGTTGCTCGCTTGCTCACAACAAAAACATTTTATACACCAACACATCTCTTTGAACTATTTTCAAAACCAACACTTTGTACGCATTCTTATAGAGACGAGAATCATTACAAAGTCACATTTTCAAAATACTTACAAAACCTACATCACAAAGCACATTTCAAAACAAAAGCAAGTGATCTAGAAAGTAACTGAGAGCCCATGGAAAACCATGGATGAAAAGGGTGCTAATACCTTCCCTTTTCATAATCTACCCCTCGAACTCAAGAAAACATCTCTAATGGTCTTTCTTGTGCTTTTTTACCTTTCCTTATTGGATAAAAGAAAAGTCAGTGGAGACTCTTGCTATCTGCAACATTTGCGATCAAACGCAAAACAAAAAATCAGTTCTCCTACCGTATCACATCCCTCTATTTATAGGCAAGAGGTTTGGGAACAAGAGCTGATTAGGTTTGCAAGACAACATGTTATGGTTTGGTTGGGATGCAAATATCAAACTATGTCAATTCTCCATAGTCTCAAGATGAAGTACCAAAGTTATTGATATAGAGGGGCTACTTTCCATGATTTATGATGGAGTAAAATCAGAAGTAAGTAATGTATGGGCTCAAGACAAATTTTATACCTAAAACTTGCTTTTTAAGAATAACAATGGTGCCTTTATGCTATAAATGGAAAGATCTTTTGGACAATGACTCAAACACTTGGGTAATAGCTCAAAAGTAGGTGTAAGCATTAAATTATAGTAAGATTGGCAAGTTAGAAGGCCTGCAACACAAGATTATGCAACATAGCATAATGATTTTGTTATGTGTTCTTCAACAAAAGGACTTGCAATTCAAGGATGAATGTCCAACTTCATGCCCTTGAATCTCCTAGCTCAAGTATGATAAATTCATGCTCTTGGATATTTTGGAAAGCTTGAAACATCCTCTATAACTTTCATGTTGGCCATTTTAACAAAATCATCTTGGAACTATGTGAAAAAATGCCAAGAAGTTGGGATAAAATCCTGACCAAAATCTGTTGAAAATTTCAGTGCTAGATGAAAATGTCATGTCTTCATGGGCTTATATCTTCAAATCTAAGCATTTTTTAAACATTAACCCTCTAATACAAAGTTGTAGAATTCATCAAGATCTACAACTTTCATGTTGAAAGTTTCTTTTGAATCATATTGCACCTTGGTGAAAGAATGTCATGAAGTTATGAAATTATCATATATAAAACACTTAGAAAAATTTCTATGTTTTGAAAAGTTTGACTTTCTTGACTTTTTGATGATCAAGCTTGATATTCTTGAATGTCTTGATGAATTTTGATCTTTAAGACTTAATATTGACCAAAAAGTCAAAGTTTGATTTTTGGTGTATCAGTTGACTTTTCATCAGTACAACTGATTTTTGGTCATCTGGTCAATTGATTGAGCATAATTTATGATACAAGACTTGAAACTTGACATGAGCATTTTTGAAGGTCCATAGTGATCCATGAAAGTCATTTGAAGTATTAGAAGTCCAATTGTCCTTGTGCAAGCTCAAACCCTAATTCGAGGTATCGGTGTTGAGGAGATGGCTTGACCTAGTCAATACTTGTACAAGCTTGAGCTTTTGAAGATCTTTGTGAGAAATGTCTTGAGAAAAGACATGACAAATTTTGGAGTACAGCAGAAGGGACAAGATAAACAAAATACTTGGATATAATAACTTTTCACCTCACGTGACCTAGCTCTTAATACCGTAACAATCCTAAAAGCCCATGACATCCCTTATTCACTGGGGGTTGTGATGCATTTGTACTTTAGTAAGTACATATATAAACTATCCTTAATCTTAATTCCAAAGCAATACATAACTATTTTAGCTAGGCAGAAATAATTGCCTTCTAGTTAAGGCTAATGGGCAGAATGCAAACGTCGAGTTTCCACTTACAATGTCATTTTTTTGAGGTGGAACAAAAAATATGTGATGTTGAAGAAATAAACTCTTTCGATGCGATGACAAAAGCTCTTGACGAGACATAGAGGAAGAATCTAAAATATTAACACTCCAAGACCAAATCAGTGAAATAGATGTAGTTTGAGAGTGAGAATGATAAGTCATTGAACTTATATATTATAAACAGTTAAATCTATTTTTCGTCTAATCTTACAAAAAATACAAAAATCATCCTATCAAATTTGACGTGGCGACAAACAATGCATTAATAATCATGATTAAGTATCGAAAAATTGACAAAATCTCACTTATTCTTTTGTTCACCATATGAATACTTTAAAATGAACCTCACAATTAAAATTTTTTTTTTGGCACTTGGACAACTCCAAACACTTCTATATAAATATATCTAATAAAAATCTTTTACGCTACAATCAAATCAATTCATTTAAAAATGCCGCTTAAAAAAAAGTAGTATTTGATATTAACTTTTTATTTATAATTACAATCTTTCAAAGGCGAAAAAAACATTTAATATTAATTTTTATAATCTTTCAAAGGCGAAAACCAGGCCACAAGTAGATGGGCCTTGAGCACGAATCTTCAAACGCATGATACACACCTAACAACCTCCCCACCACACTCAAGAATATTATCACTTCAAAATTCTGCAGCACGAAACAAACCAACGAATATCCTATTGGCAGTTCATAAAGACTCTTTTACCCCTTATCTTTATCAATGGAAACCTACTAAAGCAAAACTCGTAACAAAAAGTAGAAACCCGCGGGACCCTCACAATAAAATCACACATCTAAGTTACCGACGCAGTATCACGGACCATACACCGCTCATGTAGCGTTGATTTAACCCCGAACCAACTTGACCTACTTCAACAAGCAATTTCCAACTTCTTTTTATATTTATACCTAAAAACCCTATTTATTTCCCATTTCTTCTACAACCTTCCACTCTTCTCGATCTTTCCGCTACCACTCTCTATTTTCTACTTCACTACTTCCTCTTCCTTCAACAGCCATGGGTGGTAATCATAACCGTTTCGTTACCTTTCTTCATTTTTTCGTTGGTTTTTTACTTCAATTTGTCTATAAGCTGATCTGATTTTTCCTCTGTGTTTGAATTTTTCTGAAATTTCTCGTGGAGTAGCCAAGATCAAGATCGGAATCAACGGTAAATAGTCTAGTTTCTCCGATCTCTCTTCGTTTCTGCATAGATCGGATTTTTGTGAGTTTTTGATGAGTGTTTGTGTAACTGACAGGATTCGGAAGAATCGGACGTTTGGTTGCCAGAGTTGCTTTGAAGAGAGATGATGTTGAACTCGTTGCAGTTAACGATCCTTTCATCACCACTGATTACATGGTATATACAACTCTTTCATTGATTTACTTTGTTTGATAATTTCAGATCATAAATATTCTCGTGATGAAACTTTGTGTTTATCTATTTGATTATTTTTTAGTGTTAAGCTTTTTTGTTATAGATCTGATTTATATTTGGCAAAATTTTTATTTGGCTTTGTTTGTGTTGTGTAGACATACATGTTTAAGTATGACAGTGTTCACGGTCAGTGGAAGAACGACGAACTCACTGTTAAGGACTCTAACACTCTTCTCTTCGGTACCAAGCCAGTTACTGTCTTTGCACACAGGTATGTAGATAGTTCTTCAATTCAATTGCCATGCTTGTGTGTAAATATGCCTGTAGGTTTTTATTTTAGACGAAGAGAATAGTTAATGAATTATTATGTGTTTTCAGTTTCGGTGTTGAGTGTGACTTAGAGCAGAGTGTCGAGTTTAATTGTTATAATATTGATTATCGTTTAACTAGTAGTTTTAGTAATTTGTGTGTTTGATTCATGTTTGCTCTGTGCCTCAGGAACCCGGAAGAGATCCCATGGGCCAGCACTGGTGCTGATATCATTGTTGAGTCTACTGGTGTTTTTACTGATAAGGACAAGGCTGCTGCTCATTTGAAGGTTTGCATTTCCGTGGTTTCATTTTTTAGTTGTTGATTATTTCTTTGCTCAAGTTTGTACACATGTTGGTCTTATGTGGCCTGTTTCATATTTCTTTTTTTGATTGTAGTGAATTGCTTAAATTTGTCAGTTGCCTATCATTTGCTTGTTTTCTTGCACGTTTGCCGTTATACCTTTGGACTTTAAAAAATGTATGTGATGTTGTGAATCTAAGACGGTTTTGTAAGTCAGCCTTTTTCTTTATGGTGGTGGTTCTGTAATGAGTGTGTTATGTTTTAATTAGTTTGTGTTTAGATCTAGTGGGGTACTACTTGCAACTTCATATCTTGTTTGTTGTTACTCAATGTTGTCCATATTGTTACTCTTGTATTGATTAGTTTTCTTTATATTGTGAGTGCAGAATGATAATATATTTGTTTTGTTTGATTCAGGGGGGTGCCAAGAAGGTCATCATTTCTGCTCCCAGTAAAGATGCTCCCATGTTTGTTGTCGGTGTTAACGAGAATGAATACAAGCCAGAGTATGACATTATTTCCAATGCTAGTTGCACCACCAACTGCCTTGCCCCACTTGCAAAGGTTTTATGATCCCGCAGATGTTTATCCCCCTCTAATTTCCACATTGCTTTGTTGTATTAGGTCTCATTTGTGTCTTGTTTATGCTGCAGGTTATTAATGACAGGTTTGGCATTGTTGAGGGTCTTATGACCACTGTCCATTCCATCACTGGTGGGTATATTGTCAATGGGTTACTGTTGCATTTGATATTTCATCTTGGAACTTGCTAATTCATTCTTATCTTGCTGCTATGCTCTAATAATCAGCCACCCAGAAGACTGTTGATGGACCATCAAGCAAAGATTGGAGAGGTGGAAGAGCTGCTTCATTTAACATCATTCCCAGCAGTACTGGAGCTGCTAAGGTGAGAATATTTGGTTCTGTTTTCAGTCTCTTTAGCACAGTTGCAATTTTTATTGTTGCCATTGTCTGGATTTGGTTTTAATTCTCTCTGACCCATTAGGCTGTCGGCAAAGTGCTTCCTGCTTTGAATGGAAAGTTGACTGGTATGTCATTCCGTGTCCCAACTGTGGATGTCTCAGTTGTTGACCTTACAGTGAGGCTTGAGAAGGCTGCCACCTATGATGAAATCAAAGCTGCTATCAAGTAAGTGCACAATTCTTGCATTTAATTATATTAAATTTTTTCTAATTATAGTATCATTAACATGTGCCCTTAGGGCACATGATAGCATGACCCTTCATTTTTTGATATTTTACTATATTTGTTGAGTTCTATGATATTCAAAGCTGCTCTTTAATATCTGTGTCCCAACTGTAGTATAATATTTACTCTGCATTGTCTTCTATGATATTTAATATTTGTATCTGTACAGGGAGGAGTCTGAGGGCAAGTTGAAAGGAATCCTTGGTTACACTGAAGACGATGTGGTCTCCACTGACTTTATTGGTGACACCAGGTAAATACTAGCAGTTTTAAAAGTGTTGTGCATTGAATATACTTCATGATTTTTGAGTTAATTTTGTTTTTAATTATTGTTACCAGGTCAAGTATCTTTGATGCCAAGGCAGGAATTGCCTTAAATGACAAGTTTGTTAAGCTTGTCTCATGGTATGACAATGAGTTGGGTTACAGGTAATCATCTGTCTTATCTTTCGCATATGGTTTCTTGTTTGATACATGCTATTCACCTTGATTGAAATTCGAGTAGTGAAAACCAACTAGGTTTGCTCCTTATTCAGCCGTCTAATAATTGTTTTTATATAATTTGCTGCAGTACCCGTGTGGTTGACCTCATTGTTCACATTGCTAAACAACTTTAAGTTGGCACCGCTGTTGGTAGTGCTATAAATTGGCCTACTTTTGTTTCTTAGCATCCATTAGCCTAGCGGCAGTTAGGCCTCTTTTCATGTAATAAGTTGATTTGCTGTACTAATGAAGTTTCCACACTATCATCTGCAGTGTTTTTGGTTGCTTAGTAGTACATTAAGCAATGTGCTGTTTTGGATTTTGATGTATTGACCGAGCTTTGTTTGTGAGATAATAAATGTTTTTACTCATGTTTGCTATAGTTAATTAAAGAGCAGTAAACTTGAAATATGCAGCATCAAAATAATAAACAAATGCGTAATTCCTAGAAAAAATGATTGAAATATTTTTAAAATGCAATGTGCTTGATGGTGATCAGTTGAATGCATTTGTCATGCGTCACAATTAGCTAGTTACTTGTTTATTTGTTCTTTAAACTACAGCTTTAAATCTACCTGATTTTGAGTCTACCTCCATTTGGGGAAACCATGAAAACAAGACTGACATACCGCCTAGACAAGTTGTATTCAACATAGATTAAGAGAAGGGGTTAACGGCAGCCATTTAAATACAAAAATGACTAAAACACAAAATAACAAATGAAATTTAGTTGAAAGGCTGGATATTTAATATTAAATTTAAATGTAGTTTGGTCATTGAAAAGCCGTGTTCTTTTGTTTTTTAAATCATTTATTTCTGCCTTGTCTTTTGAGCCATGGGAAAATGCGAGACAATTTGTAAATATTCCCTTTTAAGAAATATGCTATTTTTGTAAATCTTGTAGTGGTATTTGCGTAGGAATGTTCAAATTTTATTTATCGATGAATGCGAGTTTGATTTATTGATCTTTATAATGTTCCGAGCCGATTAGAATGACAATTTGCCATCGATCTAAAGAGAGCAGTGATTCGCTTGAAATCACTTGCAAGTTACAACACAATGTTTCCCTACAGAAAAATATATTAGATTCAATACGCAAAGTACATCTAACGGCTTTCAATACTATACTAGAGTACATTTAATACTATACTAAATTACATCTAACGGCTTTGAATTTATATTTAAAAATGCACGTGAAAGAGCTTTTAATAATTAGAACTCTTTGATAAAACTTTGTATGAAAATTATTTAGTAGTTGGTAGCTACTGACCATTATTATAAATAAATATCATCCTTTTAGATTTATTGTATGTCGTTTTTTTTTATGTGAATCAAATATATTTATTATTCAATAATCTTAAAATAATAGATAGTTATAATAAATATTTTAATTAAAAATTAATAGTTTACTATTTTATCATGTTATATTATGAAATTATTTTTATTTGATAAAAATAAATATATCAATAAAAACACGCAAAACAGTTTTAATATATAAAAGAAATTAAATAGTATTAAAATATATTAAATTTGTATATAAATTTATAATGGATTTTAACTTTAATATTTAAATTAATAACATTGTAATTTGAATTCAATTAATCTGAAATAATAATTGTTCTGGATTTGCTCGACAGTTTGATTGGCCTAGTCCCAGAGATTTACACGGGTCCGAGTCCACCCGATCATAATCCGGATCGGCCACATGGCTATCTCCTGTCGGACAACGACAATCATTTGCCCTTCCGAACCGACGCTGATTCATGATGATCGACGAGCACCCTCTCCGTTTGTCTGACACCGATGTCATACATGCCACCAAGAACTGGTCAGAGTGATGCCCGTAACTAGTCCCCTACTCGGAACCAACGGCTAGTTACGTGCACATCCGTGCGGTTTGACCAAGTCTTGGCAGTTACCTGATTTTTCGGACTCACATATCTAGAGAGAAATCAGGAACCAATAGCCACGCGCCAGAGACATTATATAAACCCTCACACCTGTGAGGGCCAGGAATCTAATATTCAGTACTCACTATCTGATATTTCTGCTTGTACCTCCTTGTTCCCGCTCTTACTTGATCGTTGGAGTGTCTTACAGGTACAACCCCCTTTTCTCTTCAGTATACAACCCGAGTAAAGATCATCCTCCGACCACTCTCCAGGTTCTGATCAACTGGCAAGATTAGTAGCGCCGTCTGTGGAAATCTGCTATCCCCATCTTTCTTCCCTCGGAACCTAAATTTCTTTCAAGATTCATCTCTCTAATCATGGCCGACCATGATGATCTTTACATGCCCGAAAAGATAATTCTTTCCCCCGCTCGCAAGACTGATGGAAGTCAGGAACACCCTCACCTCGAGGACAACCTGGGCTTCCGTGACAGACAAACCGCGTTCCCTGATTCCACTGATGCCCGACGCGGTGACGATCAACTCTTGGACAAGGGACATTCCAAGAATCCTACTGAGGAACTGCCAGAAATTATTCAACCAATTCCTATCCCTCTCAACACTGACCCGGTCATGGCAGCACTGCTCGCTGCTATAAATCAGACCAACACCCTCATCCTTCAACAGAATCAAAGGATAGGGGCCTGGGAGAACAGACACTCAAGATCTCCTCCTTGGAGAGCCCGAATACGAAACTCCCCCAATACATCACCACCTAGGCTTGGTCCACCGTCCAGAAGGAGAGGTGCAACATTTCTTTCTTTAAGAAACGTAATCGCACACCTCCCCCCAGAGATCAAGACTCCTTTTCGTTCAAGAAGAGGAAGGACAACATGCAAATCGATCGAGCTCGACTGCCCTCTCCCGAGCCGAAGCAGAAATGAAGGAGCCCTCCCTTCGACGAGATCGTAACGACCGATGGGGGAGAAACTACCACTCCCCTTCTCCATCTCCCGTCAATAGAGAGGATGACGAGCCTCGTGTCCCGCTATCGAGAGAGATCACCGAAGCTCCACTCCCCGTCGGCCTGGAGAAGCCGCCCACTCTAGGGACCTACGACGGAACAACAAACCCTAACGAGCACATCGAGAACATCGATGCCATCCTCGACTACAGAGGGGTCAGGGGATCTATCAAATGCAGACTCTTCTCGACCACTCTTAAGAAGGGGGCGATGACGTGGTACAACAGTTTTCCCGACGAATCCATCACCTCGTGGAAACAACTCGGGAGAATATTTTCAAGGCATTTCACTGCCTCCCGTCGACACCCTAAATCAGAAGCTTCGCTCAAAGCAATCATACAAGGCAGGGACGAGTCTCTGCGTGCATATATTGAATGCTTTAACAAAGAAGCGGTCTAGGTCCCGACAACGGACAATATGAAGAAATACCTACTCAAGCGCAGGCTCCGTCCCCGCAGCGACTTTGCCAAGGTTGTGGGTATAGAAACACCAACCACGCTCGATTCCCTTCTCCTAAAGGCCCAAGTGTACATACAGTACGAGGAGAAAGAAGCGACCAACAACGTCCGAGAATCCAGGCACAGAGAGAGTGCCAAACCTTCAAAGAATGACGAGTCCTCGACATCCCGTCGGGGGGAGAAGAAACGGAAGACAAGCCCCGTGATCCTAAAGACTATAAGGGGTCAACCGATCATTTCCACGACCCCCCCTGACAACCTCAAAGGAGTGTATTCTTTTCGAATGCGCTAATTCTGAATTCAAGCAAGCTGGGGTGCACTTCCTCCGACAAACACCGTCAAAGCCAGGAACCGACAAGAGAAAATACTGCAGGTTCCATAAGAGTCACGACCACAATAAAGAAGATTGCATTCATATCAAGGATGCAATCGAAATACTGATTAGAGATGGGCACCTCAAACAGTATAAGAAAAAGCAGGCCGTCTGCGACGAAGCATCAGAGACCAAGAATGTCAAAGAAGGGAAGAAATCCCCTGACCTCGACACCATTCCGATCGCCTTGAGCATCTCACGACCGGAAGACTTCTACTTTTTGGACATTGAGAATGTCCCCGTGTACTTCTCCACTCACAGTCCATGGGAATCCTTCCCTGCAGCCATGATCATTTCCGATAGAGGGTTTAACAGGCACACAGTTGGATCAGTGAAGAGAAGGTTCGACCAACTCATTGAGGCCAACTATGAGATGGACGCCACGCTCGAAAAATTCCGAGGAGGATCCCACCCCCTCTAATTCTATAGAGAAGAGTTACCTGGAGGAGCCCCAAATTCGAGCATCCCACTACTCATGAGAGCTCAGATGGCTAACTTTGTCGTGCGTCGCATTTTGGTCGACCATGGCAGTTCAGTGGACATCATGTACACCCAACTATTCAACACTTTACAGTTGAACGAGATCCACCTAACCCCCTACGTGGGTTCTGATCTTCAAGGTTTCAACGGGGCCCCCACGAAGCCATGGGGATACGTAGAGCTGATCGTCACTTTTGGGAGGGGATAACGGCCAAAGCCATCAAGACCCAATTCTTGGTGGTAGACTGCCCATCTCTCTACCAATGCATATTCAGGAGACCCACTCTCGACGAGCTCATCGCGATCCCCTCCATCGTTCATCTTAAGATGAGATACTACACCATCAAAGGCTTGGTTTCCACTCTTCACGGGGACATCCAAGCAGCCAGGAGGTGCTTCGAAGCTTCTGCCAAGGGCCTCAGCTCAATCAACGCCCAACCTCGGTCGACCACTGGAGCCACACTGCCCTCTAGCTCTGAGGAATCTAGGCCGTTACCGAGGGTTAACACCATTAACCTCGACAGTCGCTTTTCCATGGAAGACCGGGTCAAGCAGAGGAGGAGAGGAAAGGAGCCAACGGTCGAGGATGAAGAATCAACCCCCTCCGCTGGTCATAACGTACTCTCAAGTCACGCACGGCCCATCCCGGACGGTGACTTCGAGCTAGTTCCTCTCGAAGAAGACCCCACCAGGGGAGTGAAGATCGGAACGGACCTCCCCGGCTTGGCGAAAAGGAAACTCAAGGCTTTCCTGAGGGAAAATGGCGATCTATTTCCCTGGAGTGCGACCGAGATGCCCGGTTTAGACCCCGAGGTCACATGCCATCACCTGCCCATTGATCCTACCATCAAGGTGATCGAGCAGCGTAGAAGGAAGCAGTCAACTGAGAAAGCAAAGGCTACTGAATT